GTTTCACCCCAATTTTCCCTGTGGTTCATCCCCGATGTCGTGGGTTGGGGCGGGAACTCCAGGACACCCATCCAGGGGGGTGAGCTGGGAATATTTGGGAATGCTGAGGGCCCAGTCCCGCTTCAGGAGCTGAGAATGGGAGAGGAGCCCCTTTCCGGCTCCACGTCCCGCCCGGGTTATCGGGAGGAGCCTCCCAAGGCTGGATGTTCCCAGCTCAGCCCCCTGGATGGGTGTCCCGGAGTTCCCACCTCAATGGATCACCACATTCCCTGATATCCAGGGGTTTCACCCCAATATTCCCAGTGTTCAGCCCCATGTCGTGGGTTGGGGCGGGAACTCCAGGACACCCATCCAGGGGGGTGAGCTGGGAATATTTGGGAATGCTGAGGGCCCAGCCCCGCTTCAGGAGCTGGGAATGGGAGTTGAGCTCCTTTCCGGTTCCACGTCCCGCCCTGGTTATCGGGAGGAGCCTCCCAAGGCTGGATGTTCCCAGCTCAGCCCCCTGGATGGGTGTCCTGGAGTTCCCGCCCCAACCCACGACATGGGGCTGAACANGATGGGATGGGATGGGATGGGATGGGATGGATGGGATGGATGGGATGGGATGGATGGGATGGGATGGGATGGATGGGATGGGATGGGATGGGATGGGCACACACTGATGGGATGGGATGGACACCCCATTGCTGCCCCCCCCATATCCCGAGTTTCCCAATCCTCACCCCTCCCCTTTCCAAACCCCTCTGGAAGCACCGACACACCGGGATCCCCCAAATCCCACCGGGACCCTTCCCGGGGGTCTCCATGGCCGTGGATCTGGGGGAGCATCCCCAGGACCCCCCATCCATCCCCCCCCGGGAACGAGGGATCAGGAAAACCGGGATAATCCGGGCTCTTCCCCGTTCCCGGGGTTTTCTGGGAGCGCCGGTGGCATCCAGAGGGTTTCCTGCCGGGAACGCCCTTCCCGGCTGCGCCAGGGCCGGAGCTGAGCCGGTTTTTTGGGGGATTATCCCCAGCTTTGCATTCCAAGGGGGGAAAAAAAAAAATCCCCTTCTTTCCAACAGGGACCCTCTGATCCCAGGGAAGGGACATTCCAGGGATGTGACACCCCGGGAATTCCAGCCTCTCCCTCTTTTCCTGCCGGGATTTGCCGGAGGGAATCACACAAACAACCCGCCCTGGAGCTGCCAGGGGAGCGGGAACGGGGATAAAAATGTGGGAATGCCGTCCCTGGAGATGATCCCTGGCTCCTGGAGTTCCTCCCCCCTCCCCAAATCCTCCTTTTCCCGGGGATCTGGAGGCATTCCAGGCTTTCCCAGCCCTCTCCCGTGGGATAAAAGCATGGAAGCATCTGCCAGCCCCGGGATCCATCCCCATGGATACGGCTGGAGAGGGAGGAGGGGGGGTGTGGGAAGCCGGATCCTCGCTGGATCCAGATGCTTTTCCAGGTGTTCGGAAGCTCTTCCAAGCGGGAATCGCCCTCCCCATCCTGCCGGGGAGGGGGGGGGGAGCAGGGTGGGGACCTCCAAAACGAAACCTCGCTCAAATCCCGGCATGGAGGGAACAATCCCGATCCCAGGGAGGTGATCCCGATCCCAGCCAGACAATCCCGATCCCAGGGAGGTGATCCCAATCCCAGAGAGCCCATCCCGATCCCAGGGAGGTGATCCTGATCCCAGAGAGCCCATCCCGATCCCAGCGAGCCCATCCCGATCCCAGGGAGCCCATCCCGATCCCAGTCAGACCATCCTGATCCCAGGGAGCCCATCCTGATCCCAGGGAGACCATCCCGATCCCAGCGAGCCCATCCTGATCCCAGGGAGACCATCCTGATCCCAGGGAGCCCATCCTGATCCCAGGGAGCCCATCCTGATCCCAGGGAGGGGATTCCGATCCTGGTGAGCCCATCCCAATCCCAGCCAGACAATCCTGATCCCAGGCAGGTGATCCTGATCCCGGTGAGACCATCCCAATCCCAGCCAGACAATCCTGATCCCAGCCAGACAATCCTGATCCCAGAGAGACCATCCTGATCCCAGCAAGGTGATCCTGATCCCAGAGAGACCATCTCAATCCCAGCAAGACAATCCCGATCCCAGGGAGGTGATCCCGATCCCAGAGAGACCATCCTGATCCCAGAGAGACCATCCTGATCCCAGCCAGACCATCCTAATCCCGGTGAGACCATCCCGATCCTGGCAAGACCGTCCCCATCCTGGCAAGACCATCCCGATCCCGGCAAGGTGATCCTGATCCCAGCCAGACAATCCTGATCCCAGCCAGACAATCCCGATCCCAGCCAGACCATTCCGATCCCAGCCAGACCATTCCGATCCCGTTGAGGCCATTCTGATCCCAGCCAGACAATCCCGATCCCAGCCAGACAATCCTGATCCCAAGGAGGTGATCCCGATCCCAGGGAGCCCATCCCGATCCCAGTCACACAATCCCGATCCCAGCCAGACCATCCCCATCCCAGGCAGGTGATCCTGATCCCAGTGAGAGCATCCCGATCCCAGCCAGACCATCCTGTTGCCAGCCAGACCATCCTGATCCCAACCAGACAATCCCGATCCCAGCAAGGCGATCCCAATCCCAGGGAGACCATCCCGATCCCACTGAGACAATCCTGATCCCAGCAAGGCAATCCCAATCCCAGTGAGACCATCCCGATCCCAGGGAGACCATCCTAATCCCAGGGAGGCGATCCCGATCCCAGAGAGATCATCCCGATCCCAGGGAGACCATCCTAATCCCAGGGAGGCGATCCCGATCCCAGAGAGATCATCCCGATCCCAGGGAGACCAT